GGTGAGGGTTGGGGGGGAGGGGGGATATTGCCTTGATTTAGCATCATATCATTTACAGATTACCACACCAGTAGGAGGGGCAGTCACAGTGGACTATTTGGAAACAGTTGTGTGTGTTTATCTTAGACATGGCACTGGGGGCAGATGACATCTGTAAAATTATGGTCGGTAAACATTGTGCCTAATATTTGAGGGAGAATATTTAAGTAGAGACATCAAAAAAAATGTGTGACAACATTTGTTTCCTTTTCTTATTTTTTGATCAGCTTAAGATTTATTACTTGAAAAAAGAATTGAAGATCAAAAGAAAAAAAAGTGTAATCTAATGTTGTTGTCGTTTTTTCCCTTCATCTTTTCCTATTTTTTTTTTGGTGACAAATCTTTTTCTCTTTTAAATTTTCATTTCTTTTTTTTTACTCAATTATTGCTTAAGTTTTACCTGAAAAAACAAAAACAAACAATTTTTAGTGGTGAGAGATTTGTAGGGAAAGGAGTTTTTGATAGAACAGCGCGATAAAGGAAATGAATTTTGATTCTTTCTTTGCCTTTATTTTTTCCCTCCCCCCCCCCTCCCCCCCTCCTCCTTTCTTAGTAAACATTTTATGTTGTATTCGAAAAGAATGTTAATTTTTCAGTATATAAAAAAAAAAAGGATAAATCTATTATTGGATAATATTATTGGGGGGGAAAAACTAATCTTATTTCTCCTACTTTTTTTTTTTTGTTGCTCTCTATGCTGTCAAATGTTTCTGTTGCTTCCTTCTGTTGCTTCGGCGCTGTTGTTGTTTTAAAAACATTGACAATCTGAGACGTATAAAGCGGGGGGAGACTTTTGTATTGTTTAGTAATCGTTAAAGAGAAGAAGATGAATTTTCCTTTTTTTTTTCGCAAATAATTAAATGTTAAAGCTAATTTTTTTGTTGTTTTTTTTTTATTTTAAAAACTGAATAGTATTCGCTGAAAATAGATGAGAAGTGGAAAAGCTAAAGCAAAGCGAAAAAAAACAGAAAAACAGAAAAAATGATAACTGTTTGTTGGAATTCTTCAAAACTTTCTCATCAATTTTTGGACATTAATGTTTTCACGAAATTATTGAAGCATCTAAACAACAACAAAAAAAGAACCTAACTTTTTTTACCAGTTTTTTTTTTGACTATTACAGTAAAGGGGGGGGTGAGGAGATTGTGGGGAAAAAAAAGTTGATGCAGTTGATTTATTCTTAGGTCTGCCAGATAACAGTGAAAAAAACTGTGAAAGTTGTAATTTAATATGATTACATTTAGCATAATAAATTTATTCTAATAAACTTTTTGTTTTTTTTTCTTTATACAACCAGAAAAAAAGTTAGAATATTTTAAGCAGAGGAAAAAAAAAGAAATTAGACTTAAAATTTTACTGAAAATTGAAAGTGTTATGAATTGATATAAGATGTTTGTAAATGAATGTTTTAACATAGCGCAGATGCTATTTTCTATGTGTTATTTGGTTCAAAAAAAAATGAAAAAAAAAAAAATTGGATTCTGTTGCGTTGTCAACGAAGCAAAAAAAAAAAATTCAATAGAATTTTTATAAAAAGAGCATATATTTATTAGGACTTTGACCGTTGTTACCCAATGTGCTGCTGCTGCTGCTGCTGCAGTTTTACAACACCTAATCTTTACAGTATAGTATATAAGTCTAAACTAATCTATTGGGTTATTTAAACTTTTTTTAAAGAAAGCTGTTAATTTTCATTTTGAAAAAACATAAATTTATGTTTTGTTGATTGTGAAAGTGTAATTGTAAG